GTTTTTCTGATGTTGATTCATTAGCTTACAATTTTCTTTTTAAATCAATCACATGGAATACTACATCATGTTCATGCCTTGGTTTAAAAAAAAAAATTTACTTTGTTTCTTAGTTTCCTCCTTTTTGAGATGTCAAAAGGGGGAGAGGAATCCTTTGTATGCTTGCACTATCGATTCCATGTTTTACACTACTGTTTTTGAAATAATTGTCAAAGTGTTTGCAATCATAAAAAAGGGGGAGATTATTGTAAACACTCTTGCTTCTTTTCGACTGCCTTTTACTACTGACATTTTCAGGATTCAAAAATCGGACGAAAAACGAAATCAGCTCAAGACTGGGTAGATTAGGGTTAAGTCAGTCTGTAATTTTCTTTTTTTTTCTTTCTAAAGTCAATTGTAAATATTTGAAGTGACTGGTGTTAAGTAACCCTACACACACACTTGAGAGATTTAGAATTTCTGTTTTTACCAACATCGTCCCGGACGATATTTACATCGGCCTGGACAATCGAGATTCAAAACAGAAGTTCTAATCAGGATTTCTTTGTTAAGGCAGCCGTAATTAACTGATCGTCCTGGACGATACATTTATCGAACAAGACGATAGGCTCAAAACAGAAAGAAATAGCCGCCATAATCAATTTAGGTATTCTGTATTTTTAGAAATCGGCCAGGACGATCGTGAGATCGGCCTGAACGATATGCACAATTATGCCTAAATTGATCCGGCAATCAATGAAGAAATTAAAGATAAATTGATACGATCACATCGTCCTGGACGATCGTGGGATCGGCCGGGACTATATATTCAAAAACCCTTAGTTGCTCCTGGACGATAAATATCGGCCAACACAAATTCAGGGCAATGCTCTGGATGATTTTCCTCTAATTTGAACTGATCGTCCGGGATGATCGATTGATCGGCCAGGACGATCAAGCCAATTTTCAATCGTCCAGTTCATTTTTAGAGTGGTGTTCTGGCCGATCATCTGAAATTTGAACTGATCGTACAGGACAATATTATTATCGTCCTGGACGATAAAGTCGACAACTTGCATTTATTGAGCTCCTTTGAAGCTCTTCTATTTAAAAGCTATTGTTCAACATTTTTGAACATCATTGGCTCCTGTCTTGACCTGAGAAAACCTAAAGGAGAGAGAGAGGGAGAAAGAGAGAGATCTTGTGAGGAGGAGCTTGTGAGGGAGTTCACAAGGGTTGCTCCAAGCATTGTTCTTCTTCTTCCCTAGAGTCTCTTGTCCTTGGAGGGGTTGGGATAGGTAAGCTTCAGCGATTGATCGAGGTTCTCTGCCTGCTTTAGGAGGAAGCAAAACGAGTTGGGTTCTCTGCCTTGCCGGGGTGGCAAAAAGGAGGTGTTTGTAAGGGCTTCTCCTCCTAGCTGTGGGGGCTAAAGGAGAGTCACGATTGTAGTGCAATACTCGGAGGGCGCCTTCGGGGAGTGGACGTAGGTCGAGTTGACCGAACCACTATAAACCCTTGTGTTCTTGTTGTTACTGCTTCCGCATTTATTTTTCTGTGGTGATTTTGGTTTGTGATATTTGTTCTTGGTATTAAAGAATTTTTTAAAATACCAATTCACCCCCCCCTCTTGGTTAGCCTTGGGCCGGTTCATAGGGCTTAACATTCGTAACGAAGTTTCACATACATCCGGTATTCCATATATCATAGATAAGGAGAGCTATAGGGGATCACACCTCAGTTGCAGAGTTACGAGTGACGCTGACTTATGATTTGGAGGTGGTCTTGAAACCATTGGAGTTGGTAGGAGTACAACAGAGGGAGGGAGGAAGTAAGGAAATGCTGATTAAGTGGAAAAACCTAACTGAGTACGATGCTACTTGGGAGCCGTATGAGCGGATGAAACATCAATTTACATCCTTCCACCTTAAAGACAAGGTGGTTCTTTGGGAGGGGGTTATTGTTAGAGGGTCTGATTCGGTCGGTATAGAAGGGACTGACCCAATTCTACACCAGGCGAAAGCTTGAGGGGAACCAGGCAGATCCCCCCTTTGGGGAGGGGTCCACACGTTAAGGAAGAGAGAGAGAGGGGCGGATGAGAGGGAGATTTAAATCTGAAGTGTTGTTTGAACTTTTGGCTTTGTATTATTTGCTTTTAATAGTTATTCTTATCCTAGGGTGAGTGTTATGTTGAATTTAAGAGTTCTTAAAGTTTGCTTGGGGTCTAGCCGTCGGCTAGGGATTTGGGAGAGTCGGATTTTCCTTTCGAATTGAATATTAATTGTATCTTGCTTGTTTTCACATATTATTAAGTTTTCCTATTGATTTGCCAAGGAATTTATGCAAATTCCTGCTTTGTTCTTGCTGCAATTCCAAATTTCAGCCACAATTTTGGTGATTTGTGCACGAGTAGATCCTTTATGCAGTTATCGCTACAGGCAATCCAAACTACTTTAGCTAGCCAGGATTCTCAATTTGAAACGAAACTTGATTGGATGACTAAGATTGCTAATTAGCGTGGTAACTGGACAGTATCTGAATCCAAGTTTACTTTGAAACCTTTTATTTTTTATTACTAGTAATGGTTTAAGCCTCATTACAAAGTCTCTGCATATATTGTCCATGCTAATTCCCAGCTTAACTAAAAAATCAAGAAGAAAATCAGGTGTATACATCTCATTTATAGTTAGAACTAAAAACACGGTTATGCATCCTACCTTGTTTTCAGTTATATGAATTTTCTATAAAATTCAATTTCATGTCCCCGGCAATATCAAGAGATAATGCAGAGCACCTCTCACTATTATAATCTCTAAAAAGCAATAAATAACACTTACGTTGCAACCTTGACAACGAATTCATATATGTTTTGATGAGGACATCGAAGATCAACGGCTATGATCGTGTCTATTTATTTTGATATATTTTATGTATTTGATTTGTTATTGTTCTTTTTCCCTTTCTACCCTCACTTAAGGGCTTTGTCTTATGTTTGCCCTAGGGGCAATTGTGTCTTGTATTTTCCTTCATGTATCTGGCTATTTAAGCCTTCTCCCTCCTCTTGGAGAGGGGATGATGATTTAATATGAAATTTTCAATTTGTGCTTATGGATCTCTTTGTGAGTTCTAAGTTCTCTCTCTTGGAATGATCTCTTAGTGAGTTCGTGAGAAGAGAGGCCCAAGTGGGGCAAAACCAATACCCGTCAATCTTGGTGGATTCCAAGGTTCGCGGTTCTCTTATCTTCTTTTTCTTTTATTTTTCTTCTTGTATAAAATTCCCTCTCCACCCATCTACGTCCATAGTTTCCACCGCCGGCCATTCTCACCACCCAAATTCTCTCCCAAATTCCTCCACCTCAAGCCCCTGTTTCCCCCATCCCGCCGGCTGCCTTGGCCTACCCAGTCGCCGGCCACCCCTCCCAAAGCCACCATCTCCACCACGGCCCGTCCTCATCTCCACCTCCATGCCGCCAGCCACCTCTCCCTCTCCCATGGAATTTGAAATTCAAAATTCTAAGCCTATAAATACTTTCCTGAAATAATCCTCCCAATTAGGAAGGTTTATTAATTTGAATTCAATCCAATATTTGAATTCAAATAATTCCCTCCCTAATAAATTTCAATTAGGAAACTCCCTTATTTAATGAAATCTGAATTAAAATTTCATATTTGATTAAAACCTTTAGTAATTTTCGTGGGCCCCACATACTAAGCAATTAACTGCCCCTCCCCTCTCCCTACATGGCCAGCCACTTAATCTTTCCCCCTCTCTCTCCAATTTTCATTAATTGCTCTCCATTAAGACTCTCTAATTACCTCCCATTAATCCTTTGATTTGAATTATTCCCTCCAATTTTATTAAATCTGAGAATTAATTTCAGATTTTGTTTGACTTTTCTCTCTCCCATGTTAATCTCATTAATTCCCCTTCCAATTCTCAGCCTTAGCTGCCTCCTCCCAAACTCTTCTCATGTTTTCCTCCCTTCCCGTGAGATTTCTACTGGCTGTCCCCATATTCCAGCCATATTGGGTTACTGTTATGCACTACTGAAGGCCAGAGATTGCTGTCTAAAGGCTCCCAAGACCCTATCAAAGCTGTCTGAATTTCTGTCGAACATAGGGAGTTGCCGTCCAGATTTTCTGGGCATTGTTTGGAGGCTTTCCAAACTATTCCTTCTTGTCCCCTTGCTGTTCAGCAGAATTCCGAAGCCTGAGTTGCTGTCCAGCTGACCAAAGATCTCTGCTTGTGGCCCAAAGAACCAGCCCAGTTTGCTGTCCAGATTCTTGGACAGGCGCCACGTGTTATCCTGAGTATTGGAGCCTTGAAAGCTGCTATCCAGAAGCCTACAAGTTGCTGTCCAGAACTTCCAAGACCCAAAACCTGCTGTCCAGACTTCTGTAGGTGCTTTCCAGAGATTTTGGCTTGCAATCTAAAACATTTCAACAAAGTATTGTGCTGTCCAGCCCACCCGGGAAGGGCCGGCTGCTATCTAATAACAATCAAGAGGTCCATGTTGTCTTCCCACTGGGTAAACTCTCCCTCCAAACTCTCTTATATTCCCAGTGCACTTACTACTTGTGGTTATATGTTGATTCACGACAATCTTGCTAATTCTTCCCCGTTAAAGCCTAGTAATTAGAAGAGTTGAGTGAGGGATCTCCTCATAGTGACTAGTCTTATTATTAGCATTGGGATTTATGGTTGAAAACCAATCATGTATGCAACGTCACACTAATTGACTAGTTTGCAATCTTAACTCCTATGCATGTGGTTTAGCCTAAGCTTGTCTTACCGCTCTGTGTGTTTTATTTTGTCGTTTAAAATCAAATATAAAAGATATAATTATTGTGGCTTCTAAAATTAAACGTGCAAACTTCCTTAATCTAATCATCTGTGCATGCACGTTTTACATCATGTTTGCTATATCACAGTTCCATATAAGCTGCCAGGAAGTGGAAAGTGCACTCTATATCACTAAAATTAAAAAAGCTTTTCTCAGAAAACACTTTATAGAAGACAATACCTGCTCAGGTTCATGGCATCGATCAGCAATTTCATCAACTGTCAAAGGTTCTGCTGGTTCTTTACAGCTGCAATAATAGTGTAAATTAAGCAATTTCATCAGGCAGTAGCATCAAAAATACTTTCAATGCAGAATAAATGAGAAAATTATGAAACAAACTGCATTTATTTTTTAAGATAATCCAACTAAAATCCAAATTCAATCTTAGAAAATGGTCTCAAAATAAAGATTCTGAATTGCACATCAGCAAAATTGCGCTTCTTAAGAGAAAACTAGAGGTTTCCAAGGTCTGCAAAAATGGTCACCAAGTTAAAATTGATTGGTTTATTTCTTGGGTAAAGCAGGACAGATTCTACTTTTATAGGATATTCGCTCATTTAGACAGCCAAAAAAAAGCCTACAGGACAAAGCTTTCCAGATTTCAAAAAGCATTTCTAATGATAAAAGCTGCTAAAAGGAAAAACGGGTAGCTCTACGGTCAAAACATGGTATACAAGGAGCACAAAAACCATCCTAAAATTACTGCTTACAAATCTGATGAAAGACTTGCACCAGTCCCCAGCTATTTGGATCTGATAGAAGAAACCCTCTCCCTTAATTCGATGGAAAAAACAATAGCATTTTAAAACTAAAACATATCTTCTATTATTTAATAGGTAATTTTACCAAGATAGATTTGCTTCAGATGCTAACTCAAATACTGCTAGTGTGACATTTGTAAAAATTGTAAGGGAAGAATACTTGCATATATTTTTTCCAAATTCACAAAGAAGTAAATAATTTATAGGAGATACAAGAGAGCTAGAACAGAGATAAATTTAGATGGAAATTATAGCATCCTATAAATCTATTTCTTCTATATATAGGAATGAGTACTAAGCTGAGTTTCATCAAACCCTGTTGTAGCTAGTGATCAATAATCCTGCAAATTGATAAAATGGGTGGAGATCTGGCCCTTGCTATTGTTGATTGCCGCATATGTTCCACAACCAAATTTGAGCTCGTGCAACTAGAACGTGTTGGAATGATGCAACAATTTCACGAAACATGGAAGAGTCTAGGGCGATCATTTAGAGAGAGAGAGAGAGAGAGATCTGAGTGAGAAAGGTGGAAAGTGAGACAAGCGTAGAGCTTCCCTTAGGCGCAACTGTGGGCTCATAAAATTCATGACCCAGCCTCTCCTTGGCCGCTTTCTTTTCTTTGGGTCGTCGAGGAGAGTTTTAACGAGTAAGTTTTGAGGAAATTTTTGAAAGGCAAATTGGGTTTCGAATAAGACATTACCCTGAGATTTCACCATCATTTTGTGAAGACTTTATGATCTGAGTTCAGGTTTTCAATAGGAGCAAACCAATATAGTAATTACCGCCACCCCCCAAACCCCCCGCGCCCTTGATAGCCAGAGAGAACTTTCTATTAAAGCTAGTCATCGACAATACGATTAGTTAATTTCAAGTAGGTCGTTCAGTACGATACGAATATGAATATCGTACAATACGATTAGTTCAAAAATCATGGTTTCGTATGGTATGATCTTTGGGATGACAAAATTCGTCTCTACCAATCATACGGTACAATTAAGATCATATAGTACGATTTGCAATTATTAATTAAATCATGATTTGATTGACTAATTACGAGGGTTAATTAAAAAAGATTTCAAATTTTTGTACAGTACGAATTAGATCATACAGTACAATTAGTTCAAAATTCAAATTTTGAATGTCTTAATTTATCCGGCGGCTAGGGTTTTGAGATTGTAATGAATCGTACAATACTATTAATTTAAAGAAATTAATTGTTCAATTAGCCGTTAAACCCATTCTTTCTATAATTGATCGTACAGTATGATTAGTAAAAAAAGTTTTAACTTTCAAATTTTTCTCACACCCCCTGTGTGTGTATACACGGTCACTCAATTGAATACACTCTTATGTGACCAGACTCAAGAAATATAAAATAAAAAAAATAAAAATACATACTTTGTTTACTTGACATTCCTATTCTACCTAGTCTTGAGCTTCTAATACCCTTGAGCAATGTATGTTTTACCTGCAATATTAGTGCTCGTAGACAAAAGAAATATCTAAAATATTCAATGAGAAAAGTAATAATTCAATCAATTATGTTTGTTATCATCAAAATCACAGACTAAAGATCCTGGACTACAACAATCTTCCCTTTTTTTATAATGGCAACAATATTGATAGATAGGCAAGATAAAAATTCTTTTCTCCTAAGCTCCCCTAACCAGGTGATAGATTTAAAAATTAGGGATGCATTTTTTTTTTAATTAAAGGAAAAAAGAAAATAAGATAACATAAAACAAAATAAAACAAACACATGATTATATTAAATTAAAACATACAACTAAGCAAGTATTTTCTCCCCTATTTGACATCACCTAAAAGAGGAGAAACAACAAACAAAGTGAACATTACAAGAAATAAAAATAGTAAAGCACAACAAGCAAACATTAAAAATAAGACGGATCCTGATTAAGTGGTGGTGGTGGTTGTTGAAAGTATTTATGGATGGAGGTGAAGTGATCTTCAATTTGTGAAGACTTTTCTCCAAACCATCCCTTGTCTTCCTTATGCTGTTATTGTTGTTGATGAATATGATAGTCAAGTGAGGATTCCAATCGCTCGAGCCGCTGAATTATGTCGTCGTGTGGGTAGGCAGGATAGACAGGTGCAAGTGATGATATTGGTGGAGGTGCAAGTCCAACATACAGGAGAAGCTTCCCCTTATTCAACAAAATCTAGCTCGTCGTGCTTGTGCCCCCTGTGATGTCACATAATTTAATTTGGAAAAATTATTTATTTATCTTTTATTAAACAACAATCAAAGCTATCTAATATTATCTATCAGTAATAAATAGCAAAATAAATTCTATAATTTTGTATTGATAAAACTTTCACTGCATAACTTTTTATATGTTATAGAAATTGAGATTATAAATATTTTGAATATTTATTCGAGATCTTTTACCGGGTGATTTTGAAAATACAACAACTTTTTACTACTCAAAAATTTATTTTGATGTCTAAAAATAATGATTTATTTCAACTAAAGCTTCAAAATGTTATTTTATGCAATATTTGATAATTTAGTTAAATTCTGAACATGTGAATTTTTCTTGATACCAATTATGATGTCCCAAAATCTAATTTAAAAGATTAAAAGAATAATTCTTCTAAATTAGATTATGGGACATCACACCGCCTATGGAAAAGAATACGAAACGAGGCATCCGTATAGAAAATGGAAAGATTATCGAGAGGAGCGGGGTAGTTAATTTGGTATTTCTAGTCTAAGACATACCCTATGACGTGTCCTAATATGATATTTTGCTTTCTTTTAGTATTGAGATGTCGAATATGAGTCATATTTTGGATATAATCAATAATCATATGAACTTCGTTAAATTGGGTATTGAACATTATTAGATAGGTGACTATGGAAAGAAGTGGAGTGATGTTGACATGATCTGCAGCTTTGGGTATAATTGAGGTTCTAAGAATATGCTGGATAACCCGGGCATTCTGATTTAGGGTGTGCTATGTCCTCTAACTAATGGTTTGACCCAATGTCTCCATTCGACCAACAGTTTGGCTCAAATAACTCATATGTAAACGGTTATAATCAAGGCTCAATGATAAGAGGGCTTTGTTGCATTTAAGCATCGTTATATTATGGTCACGACAAGAGTTCATATATTCCCCAATGAATAAAATTTTTGACTAATTATTTATAGAGTAAACTTGATATAGTATAAAGACCTTTGTAGCTAAGGTCGACTTGAATTTATCCCTTAAACAAATATTCACCTAAATCTAAAAGGTACCTAATACAGCAGGAGAAGGGACCAGCTAGAGCGAAGGACTGTGCAACAAAAACAAACCCAGCCAGCCAGTCCAACATGGGCCAAAGCCAAACCATGGATTAAAAAGGCGTTAGAGGTGGATGCCTCGAGGCGCGCCTCGAATCGAGGCAGAGGTTGGGCGAACTGAGGCTTAAGCCTTGATCGTTCGTGCGAGGCTTACGCCTTTTTCCATAGAGGCGTACGCCTCAAGGCATGAGGCACCGAGGCGCATCGAGACAGCGCCTCGAAAGGGAGAAAATTGCCTTCACAACCAGCGAGCCAGCGAGCTTTCGTTGTTTCTTCCGATCAAAATGTTGTAACTTACGATCTGACGGGAAGGGAAAGTTGTCAAAGGAGTGAAGTCAAACAACCACGAAGGAGCCAAACAAGCGACGAGTGCAATCTCTCAGCCTCTTATGAAGCAACGAAGCCGAACAGCAAGGACGAAAAGAGAAGATGAAAGGCAAAATCTAGATGCGGCTAAGTTATTATTGATTAACTTAGTTAATATAATTTTAAATATTAATAATTAAGCAAATTAATTAAATAATTAATAGTATAATTAGTGCATAAATTAATTATCTAATTTAATTTAATTGACTAATTAATAATAGAATTATTAATTAAATATTATTATAATTAGCCTAATTAATATAAATTACACAAAAATTACATATTATGAAAAGATTTTTCTTTTCAGATATACATCAAGGATATTCTTTCAAGTTTATAATTAACTTAATATTTTGTCATTTTTTATAATTATTTATAATTTTACATTAGCTTATTTTTACCATTTTGAGGCTTACGCCTCGATCCGCCTCGAGGCTTATGCCTCGCCTTGCTTAAGACAAAATGCCTCAATTCTCGAATTCGCCTTTTAAAACATTGGGCCAAACCCAGTCAACAGATTGGGAAAAACCAGAGGTAATTTTGACCCCCTTTGTGGGGTCAGGAATGCATTAATTCACTGTGTGATGATGAATCAAGAAAGAGATGCTTAGGAAAGTTTTAATCAGAAATGTTTTAAATAGAAAGTTTCCAATTATATTTATTATACATTAGGAAGGATTTCATTATGGATGTTTTAATTAGGAAGGTCCCTATTATGTTTATCATTTGTTATGACTATTTAAGGAGTTTGTCTAGGGTTTAGGTTTATGCTATTACTTATATTATTACTGAGTTTTCTTTCTAGGGTT